GAGACTAAAACATACGAAGAACGGCTGCAGGACTTGGGTTTGGCTAATCTAAAGAAAAGAAGAAATAGGGGAGACATAATAGCAGTGTTCCAGTATCTGAGGGACTGCCACAAGGCAGAGGGGGCCAGGTTGTTCACCAAAGCACCAGAGGGAAGGACGAGAAACAATGGTTGGAAACTGATCAAAGAGAGAAGCAACCTGGTATTAAGGAGAAACTTCCTGATAGTGAGGACAATTAACCAGTGGAACAGCTTGCCTCCAGAAATTGTGGGTGCTCCATCACTGGAGATATTCTGAGATGGTATAGGTTCTCCTGATTGAGCAGGGGGATGGACTATAAGACCTCCAAGGTTCTGTTCTATTCTATTCTATTCTATTCTATTCTATTCTATTCTATTCTATTCTATTCTATTCTATTCTATTCTATTCTATTCTCAATGCTGATAACATGAAATAAAGTATTCAGAGAAGTAAAACTGGAAGAACTGCAAAGATCTACCCAGGCAAAGTAACGGAAGCCTGGCCAATAGTAGCTCAGACTGTAGAGGCAAACCAGGGGGAGTCGGCAGTAAAGGAAGCCAGCGTTGCTAATGAACCATTTTCATTCCCAAACCAGGCATATTTCCTCTGACTTCTCCTCAGAAAGAACAAAGTCCCCTAATTAAAAAAATAAGAGATATTAAAACAGAGATAACTGAGCATCTAGAACAGCACAACAAGAATAAGACTGCCAGTGTTGAAGCTTGTTACAAAGAAACAGCTAGTACAAGTATTAAAAATTCCAATACTGTATAAATATAAGCACCAGCTCACTGCAAGAAATAAATCAACTAATGCACAGCATGGCTGCAGTATAGTTGAATATCTTCAATGGAAAAAAAAAATCAACAAACCAGAAAAGCAAGATTGTAAAATAAGATCAGCATGGTGTAATCAGATGCAAACAAGCTAGAACAGATGAAACAAAAGAAGTTGAAGAACAGAACCAAAGAACACCTGATCAAGTAACACCACCCAGAAACAAGGAAGATCAAGGAAACACTAGAAATAATACAACAGCAAAATAACAGCTAAAGCTAAGATCGTCAGACACAAAGCTGGAATTGCACACTATAAGCAGAATCTCCAATTACAATTGAATCAGAAACATTTCTATCAATCCTAAAAAGAAGAGACTGCAATGAACCAATCAACATCTGACAAAGAAGAAATGGTACAGTTCTGCACCCAGCTATGGAGCAACCCAAATAAACACAACAAGAATGCAGCTTGGAAAAAGGAAGCGGATAAGCTTTTCTTAAAAAAAAAAACAAAAAAAAACCTGAAATAAAAGAGAATGAAGACCAACTTGAATGTAGCTTAGATTGATTACCAGAAAGCATTCAACTCTCTGCCACATGATTGATAATAAAATGTCTAGAAATAACAGGAGTCAGTACAAACATCAGAAGCTTTGTGCAGAGATCAATGGCACAATGGAAGACACAGTTGCTGGCCAACACTATCACTACTACTTGTCATTTAATTGATTTTTCTGTCAACAATATTGAACAAATCACACCATGCTTATCAAACATCAAAAACATAAGCTAGGCTATCCAAACTCATTTGTATGGACATTGCGAAGCTGCATGGGAAATAGCAGCTGAAACAGAAGAGAAAAAACGCCAATAGATAGCAAATGCCACCTCTGAAAAGAAGTTGAAGAAACCGTGGACCACCTAGTTAGCAACTACAATGAGACCACACAGATTGACTACCAACAGTGGCAGGGCAAAATAGTTACAGTGGTGCATTGGAATATCTGCAAGAAATACCATTTGCCTGCAAGCAATAACAGGTAGGATCACAAAATAGATAGAGTAAGAGAATGAATAAAGTCTTCTGGGACTTTTGTGGCAAAAGAAAGCAAAGGTAGTATCAACAGTAATAGGCAATCCTATTGGTACAATCCTAAAACAACTGGAGCACTACTTGAATACCATCCACTTGGACAAAACCACCATCAGTCAATTGCAAAAGGCAGCTTTACCTGGAACACCTTACATCCTGTAACAATAATTTTTAACACCATCAAATAACAATACCCGTTTCTCCCAGGTCCTTGAGAAGGACTCTATAGGAGATAAAAAATGCCAAATCCAGTCTAGACATCAAGCTCATTATGCCTAACCATAATAATTGTTATATGTCGCCCAACTCCACTATCTAGGTGGTTGACAAATTGTCAAAAACATTTAAAAACTAGGAATAAAACAAAGACACACACACAAAAAAAACCCCACACAAAAAAATTCACAACACAAAATAAAGGAGCAAGGATGGCAGAGAAAACAAACACAGATGGGAACAAAAAAGAAAAAAAATGGAGTGTCATGCCAATCATCCTCATCAAAGGCCTGGGTGAACAGCCATGTCTTCAGGGCCCTTTGAAAAACTAGTAAGGTGAGGGCCATTTGAATCGCAGGGGGGACCTCAGAGAGCAAGCGCAGGAGGTCCATCTCTTTGGCTCCATCTGGAGACAGCCATGGCAGGCAGATAAAGAGCATGAATTAATTTTTTAAAGTGACATAAAAAATAGATGTGCTATGTGCCCATGAAACTAAAAGAAAGAGTAGTTATACTATACCTGAATGAAAATGCTCTGATCTTATGTAACATGACTACATGCATCGAAGTGAAATATAGATTTAATTATAAAGTAAAAAGCTAAAATTAATGTCAGAAAGTATGAATGTTACATGGGTTGCGGTGCATCTGTAGGAAGATCAGCATTAGCTACATGTTATACTCCAGTGAATAATGATAACAGAAGAATGAATGTAATCCAGGGAAAATTATTCTGTTAGGTGATACTAATAGATGAGTGGGAATAAGACACAAAAGAGTATAGCTAAGATGCCTGGGTGATTTAGAGACTCAAAAATATATAACAATGATGACAGATGAGGATCTTTTTTTAAAAAAATCTGCTGATTTCGAATATATGGTTTGAATATAAGCCTATTCATACTTAATGTATGTGGAATGTATATACTGCTAAAACTCTTGTGTCTGATTGTAACCTTCAATTGGTGCATTATAGAACAACAGGTTTTGAATCAACATAATTCAAATGTCAAGCACCAGGAAAATCAGGAGATCCAGGCAGTTCAAATGGGTATAAAGATTTATTTGCAACTTTAAGCTTGCAAGCTTAAGCTTTCTACAAGAATCTGAACTACTAATGGACCAAGCAAATTAGTGGTAAATAAAAGTCACTGGAATTCAAGGTTTCTCTGTTTAGGTAAGGAAATATTTTTGAAACAATGATCCAAAAGTAGTATAAATCTAAAAGCATAATTGATTTGATTTTTTAAAAATTAAGGAATTAGTAGACAAATTCAAAGATTCTGAGGGTTATAAGCATGAAAGAGACTATTAGCTGGTAATATAAAAAAAAACGATATTAGGGGGTAATAGATAATGAAATAAAAGAAACAGAGTGACAGAAAATAGAATGAAAATAGAACTGCAGGATGAGAAAGTACCAGTTCTGTATCAAAAAAAGTAACTGAAGCTAAACTAATTTTCTAACAGAATGAATAGAAAATGAACATAGGATTACTTGGAACAGAGAGAAAAATATTATGCTATCAAGTGGCATAGAAATGTATGTATGTATATATATTTATATCTATCTACATATATACACATACATGCATAATATGTAAGTATACACACACACACAAACATTCAGAGCTATGGACTTGAAAATTAATGAATCAAAGATTAGTTTGGCATAACCCAGAAAATGGAAATAGACTGAAAATTATGTATACATGTTGATAAACTAGAGCAAATAGAAGAAATGTGATAAATGTTTTCTAAAGATGGGGAAACTGATGGAGAAATTTTAAGATGTGCCAAAGATGGTAGAAAAGTAGTGGGCAGCACATAGTTTGTTGTGAGGAATGAGTATGGCTGCACATAATAATGGTAGAATAAATGGCTATGCATAGGAGTGCACATAATAATGGTAGAATAAATGGTTATGCATAGGAGCATGCTTCTGCCCACACTATTATGTACACATGCAATGGGAATGGCTGGATAAATGTAGAAGTAATTTGAATGCAATGGTCTGTGGGCAGTAAAACAAGAAGCTATGGGCTCAAGAATGAATAAGAGCTGAATGTACAGTATGTGGACTGAATGCAAGTGAGTGACTGGTATGAAAAAAGTATATTGAGGTGATTTAGTTATAGAGAGAGCACAGAATTGCAAAACAGATACACGAAGTAAGAGTCAATGGGCTGAGAAAAAGAAGAAGATCAGGCAGTGGTGGCTGGATGGGATTGATGAAATGGTAAAAAAAAAGAAAATAGAAATGTAAAAAACAACAAGCAATGTATGAAGCAGTGGATGGATGTGGTAAAAACAAGGCTGCCTTACAAAGATAGAAAGGTATAGAGCAGTGGTTCTCAACCTGTGGGTTGGGACCCCATTTGGGGTCGAACGCCCATTTCACGGGGGTCGCCAAACAAGGCTGTCCGCCATTTTTCCCCCTTTTCTTGGCCACGTCCCTGGCACCTGGTGATGTATAAGTGGTTGGGGGTCACCACAACATGGGGAACTGTATTATGGGGTCACGGCATTAGAAAGGTTGAGAACCACTGGTAGAGAGAAGCACAGTGGAGAGTTACTGATGTAAACTAGACTTAGCAACACATCCTTTTTCTTTTATTATCTCATTTAATTTCTTCTGCTTACTGTTTTTACTGACTTTCTGCACTTTACATATTACTGTTAGCTTGAAAATGAACAGCTTGGGGAGTGAATATCCATACGGCATATGTAGGTGCGCTCCTGAAGAGTTATTCTACTACTACAATAGAAGTTAACTTATCCTTGCTTAAGGGTAGTGTGCATGGAAGTATGTCTGTCATATGTTCCGTCATCAGTTGCTCTCAAAATTATTACAAAGCCATGCTCCAGAATTGCATAGCAAGAATACTCACTGCATATCAATTCAGATTCATCCGATCCATCTGAACATTCCTCCTCACCGTCACACTTCCATCTAGATGGGATGCAGTGACCATTGTTGCAGGTAAAATCAGACTCTGCACAGGTCTTCTTGGCTGAAAGGAGAGAAAGAGGGTTTTTTTTTTTAAAGGAAAAAGAATAGTTCAATTGGACAGTAAATCATTCTTTGATTTTAGAGGCACAGTCATCAATCAAAAACACTTCTTACATCTCAAAGTTGCACAATTCATCTATGACTAGATCATAAGGAATCAATGGTTCACTAGGCTGAACTGGGCATGCCTTCACCAAGGGAACTTTGAGCCTAGCAGCTTTGGGAATAGAAGAATGAAAAAGAAAAGAAAAACCCATAACCTCTTCCAAAATTGTATCTATGGATATTGCCATGAGTAAGCTATGTTTTCAGAAAGCAATAAATGGGATAAGATTTCTATATGCTTGCCTGTCTTGTTCCCTCAATCACAACTGCAATACAGGTAATAATTCTTGGTTTTCTTGTGTTTCTGTCAGGCACAAGAAACCAGGAGACAGGATATGGCTCAAAAGTATTGCAAGTTTATTTCATGCTACGTATACATAAGAATCTGAATAACTAACGGTCAAGGCAAAATGGTGGCAGATAAGAATCAACAGAATTTACAGGGGGCTGGACTTAGCTCTCTTATGGAAGCATAGGGACTCTAAAGGGATGGTGTGTTTGACTCTGCTCTCAGGCTCAGCCTGATCATCTCCTACAATTTCACCAACCTTTTTGCACCCCTATTTTAATATTTAATGACTATGGGCCTCGCAGTTTAAGGTTTGATTTTATATTACAGTTAGGCCACGCTGTATTTTGCTTGTGTACAACTGACAGATTGGATGACAAATTGTGATTGTAATATAGATTTTATCTTTATTATTTTATTCTAAAAAAAATTAACTGGATATTCCTTGAGTGTTTTTAACTTGTTCTTATCTCTGGTCTTTGATTATAATAAACACTGACTTGACTTCCACTTCCAACTAGCATTAGCAAACTGGAGGATGTCAGTAGCTTTGGAGGGCATCAGATCAAGGAAAATTATTTTCAGAGATAATTTGAATAGTTCATAGTTTCATATCGCTTGGGTTGATAGGGTTCAATTAGGAAGTATGGTAAAATGAGGGTTTTTAAAATTTTGTGAGAAGGAAGCAACAACTCCATTACAACTCAATGGGTTTAAAAATAGTGCAAATATATTCTACTAATTTATTCAGTTGGAATCAGTAGACCATCAGTTTAAAAATAGCTAAAAATAAAAATTAAATGTTTCCAACCCACTGAGGTGATCTTATATGTCTAACTCAGTGGTTCTCAACCTGTGGGTCGGGACCCCATTTGGGGTCGAACGACCATTTCATGGGGGTTGCCAAACAACGCAGTCTGCCATTTTTTCCCCCTTTTCCTTAGCTGTGCTACTCCCTTTTATTCTATTGGCTTTTGAAAGCCAATAGAATAGACTCTCTTGAATAGAGTCTAATTCTATTGGCTTTCAAAAGCCAATAGGAATTGTCCAGGCTGTCTCTGCCCTGCTGAGCCCACCAAAAGTCCCATTCTGCAAACGGTGCTGCACCAGTTGAGTAGTCCTCGACTTACGACCGGTTGAGTAGTCCTCGACTTACGACCGGTTGGGGGTCGCGGCATTAAAAAGGTTGAGAACCACTGGTCTAACTAAAGCCCATTCTCTAGAGACAAGAAGAGCAGCATTAAAAGATAGAAGGCCAAATTTTAAATACAGTGTTTTTATTAATGAACACTGAAAAAATAAACCTTCCCATCTGATAAACTATCATTTTTACCAGTTTCCTTATTGTGACATCCTAGGAAATGTTAGGCTTTCTTCAAACAGTATTGTAAGTACAGACAAACGTACCATGAGAAATGGAGCGCGTTGCTTCCTGTGCACAAATCACATGAATTATGAATTATCAACAGCAGGTAGTTATCCTTGGTGGCCGAGCTGATGGTTATGTAGTAAGGCAAAAAAATATTGAAGCAGCCTCCAGATTTATGTTCTTATTTTTAAAACTTTTACTTGACAATCTCAACCTTTTCTATTGATTTATTAGCTAATTTAATCTCAAGTAAGTGGGATTTTCCATGTAAAAGTGTATCACAGATCTTGTGCTTGCTATAGAGTTATTATTCTGAAATCAGATTAGGCAGTCAAGTATTATGTGCACTTCAAATGAGAGAATGAAACATCTTGTGCTCCAGATGTTTTAGATAACTAATTCTGCACTCCTTTGCCAAGGGTCATAAGATAGATAAGATAACCTTTATTGTCATTTTGTTACTGTGGGCACAACTGCACACATCAAAAATGAAATTTAGTTGCTCGCTCTCAAAGTGAAACACATATATGACACACACCTAAATATACTATATACAAAGTATGTATAGACCCACACCTGCTAGCTACAGCTAGGAATGATTGAAATTAGAATTTCTGGAGAAATAACTTTCTCAGAACTCTGATTAGCTAGACATGAGGAGGTTGAGATAATAACACAAGAATTTCAATTAGTACTCTGTTTTCAGATGAAAAACCTATATATAGGCAATTTAATGCCAGTAGCTTTTTCTCACATTCTTTCTAAATAATGGAAAGGACACCTGTCTCTTTGTGGAGGAGGAGGACAATGCACCTATGGACTGTTTTAAAAACCAGTATGGGCTTCTTAAAACTTGGAGACATTAGTCTGCCTACCTCAGACAGAGAGTATTACTATGGATTATGGATCTTCAGATGCTATCTTGATTCAGACATCAGTTTCAAAATCTATGGTGGAAATATAGTTTGTTTTCTGCTTGGCTTCATGAAGGGCAGAGGTTTTTCCAAGAGGCCAGTGGGACTGTTGTGAAGAGTTGAATCAATGTAACCTGATCTGGTGACCTCAAATTCTGTCACCTCAACTCCTCAAGCTGCTGCAGGTCAGGGATGAGCATTTTCTCCTCTCATTCTCCCATGGCTGCCTGTTGACAGAAACAGCGCATGGTGACTGTGCAGAGCCAGATCCCACTACCTCATCTTCTGCCCCCTGCAGTGCATTTATTTGCATCTGATTTCTAATCTCCGATTGACCTCACGTGGGTGGGACAGGGAGAGTCCAAAGGTCCAGATGTGGCTTTAGGGGCCATAAAATGCCCAGTTCCGATGTAAGGACTAGCCTTGAAACTCAACAGCAATTTGAGCTATTCACATTTTAGTTATTTGATTTGTTTTCAAATGAATTCTGTCTTCAGGAGAGTGCTAGTTACAATGGGCAATAAGACCTTTCCCCAAATATTTCCAAATGTTGTATTATAAACATATATTATGTTGTATAATTTTGTCTACTGAGCTAGATAATAGAAAATTTCAGCATGAATGGAAAATAATGAGGAAAATAAAGCAGGTATCCATATTCTCTCCATAAGACTATTATGATTTTACCCTCTACAGGTTATATTTTCATACTATGACATTACAGTGATTTAATGTTTTTCAAAGAAGCTTGCAATAATTTTAATATGCAGATTGTATATTAACATTGTTCTCTGATGGATTCTACGTTCAGCCTCAGAACTTTTCCTTCAGGACAGATTAAAACTATTTATTATAATAAATCGTTATAGCTTTAATAGCCTTCATAACATGCATGGCCAGACATTTTTACCATTTTTAATCTGCTTTTCTTTTCTGCACCATTCATCCCAAAATGTTCCAATACACTTACTCCTGACTTGGTAATGCCCCAGCCTTGGCATGACAAAGCCATTTCCCCACTGATCTACCAATAATACCCTGGCTGTTATCTTTGACAAAAAGGACTGCTGGCAGCATAAGGGTCTGCCAATGATCCTGAATAATGGAGATACAAAGCTCCCTCCACCACACAACCACGCTGGTAGCAGATGGTGCCATGGATTGCTTTGTTCCCTTGACAGGGTTCTTTGAAAGCACAATTAATTTATTATCAGGCATCACAAAGAGGGAAAAGACATATAATACTGGCAAAGAACCATCCAACGGCATTTTGAAGGTGTTAATATGCTTGGTTTGCATCCTCACAATCAGATAGCCTGTAAGGTCTTTTTCTTTGCAATGCCCAACATCTGCTGATAAACTATAAGGAGGGTAAGTAAACCTGCTCAGGAGGGGCAAAAGAAATCAGTTCAGTTTTTCAGCTCAACGGAAGCCACCTGAGTATCTTCAATGGACACTACAGAGAAACAGAAAAGTCCCAGTGGTGATTATTTTTACTGCATGAATTCAGGGATCTTAAAATACAAGCTCCCAACAGTACAAATTCCTCTTTCAATTAAAACAAGCATATTTAAACAAATGCTATTGAATATGATAAATCTAAATGCCAACAATTTAAACTGTCCTAGTTAAATCACTCATTTATGTACAAAGTACATTTAATTACAATTATCTTACTCATTCCACCCTAAACCTGCAAGGTGCATTGCTGCACGCTCCCTTTAAGAAGCAGAAACTGAGACCCATAGTATACCTTGACCACATTTATCTCAAGCTACTACCAGCAATTTGAGGATTTCAGCCAGCCTTCCAGAAAACAAAACCAAGGAGGCAGGAATTATCAACCAATCTTTCCTTGCTGAACTTCTCCTGAGCATAAAAGAGAGAAGTCTTTGAAGCAGTGCCTTCTTTGAAGAATGCATTTCAGAATCCTTGTGGTCCATGCCTGCCTACTGAAAAATAATTTAAATCAGCAATAATTCACATCTATATGCAAATGACATATTTGAATCAAAATATGAATGGAAAAAAGCATAAAAATAGGCTCAGAAAGTGTCTATAAGTCAAAAATAGAAATCTATTATATCAGGTTTGGAGGGAGAAATTTAAAGAAAAATCCATGCCTTCCAGCCATGTCCCCTTTAAATCAGGTCTATATATTGTATATAGTAAACAACCAATTAAGAAATACAGTAGGAAATTTATTGGGTTCCTTTAATTTATTTTTCTTCCCAACATCCAGTTATAATCATTGTTTTAGCAAGCTAGAATGTGGAAGACACTCAGGTGAGCTGTTACGGCAACTCTGAATTTTAAGAAAAAAA